CGTTTCCCCGCCGCCCCAGCCCCGGCTGCCCCCGGGGGGCAGAGGCAGGACCCCTCCCGGGGCTCCGCACCCCCCCGCTGCCCCCGCACACAAGCCCTTGCTTTGTCTGCCCCTTCGCTCCCACTCCCCAGCTCGTGTTTGGGTTGCAAATACTGCAGGGGAGATGTTTAACCCAAACAAGCGATCGTATTCCTTGACTTTCAAACACGAAAGACAACTCCTATAATTAATTACCAGTGTCTTTATTAAAGACCTCAACTCTCAGCCATTAACTCCTTGGCAGCAAACTCTTGAAAAATCTCTAATTTTTCCACCCGTGGCTTCTAGCCAAATCAGCACGGTTTAGAGGAGCCTCTTTCCAAATCTGGTCTGAGTTTTCTTCCGAGATCCTCTCCCCAGAGTTTGCCGATTAATTTCCAGCCTGGCTTTCCAGATAGCCAAAACCGGAAGCCGAGACTGGGACGAAGGGAAGCTATTAACCTGGATGTCAAACAAATGCAACGCTAATCTCTTCCAAATGTAGCCAAGCAGAGATAAAGGAGGAAGGAGCGACTCCACTGGCATGATCCTTCCTTTCCAGCGGAGGAAGGAGGATCCCTCCGAAGAATGAAAAACAATTGATATCCCAAGGAAAGTTTAGTAGGATTTTTTTTTAAAGACATTTCTTTTAGCCCGATGTCCATCTGTTTTGGGTCCAGCTGTGTGTAAGCGTGGGGTGATCCCAGAGGGAGCAGCATCCCTCTTGCCTCCCCGATCCCGCAATCAGAGCTTTGCCCTGCCCCAGGAACATTCAGGAGGATGCTGATTTCAGGCCGCAGCTCCCCATTCCCTGCGGAGGCAATTTCTGGGAATAACTTTCTTGTTCTTTTAGTTCTTTGTGCAGCTTTTCTTTCCGCCCACCCTCAAGGTCTCCAACAGCACCCACTGGGCAGGACTCACCGGGCTGCTGGAAGGAGTGGAGTCCTGCCAGGGATAATTTTGGTTGACCCCCTACTCTCCTGCCTTGTGAGGTCAGGTCTGTAGGTAGAGGACAACAGAGGAGTTTATTCTATGCGTATAATTAAAGCTGCTAGCTACAGCCTGGCTTTTTTACTGCCTAATAAAAAGCGTGTTTGGCCCCTGGACGCTGAGGAACAATCACTGCAGCTGCAAAGCCAGCCTCTGTGTGGGAGGTGGTGAAGCCAGGAGGCTTCTCGCCTACCTCTGCAACAATCAAAGCAGCTGATGGCAGAGATATTCTTGTTAACGCACACACACACACACACAAAAATAATAAAGCAGACCTGTAAGGCAAGGCTGAGTGAGGAGCGTGTACCCAGCACACAGCCCTGGGGGCTGCGAGGTGCAGGTCATACAGATGGCCTGAAATGGGTTGGGGTACACGGGGAGGCTGGGGGG